ACACACACACACACACACACACACACAAAACCTCTTTTTTCCTCAGAAAGTAAAAAAAGCTATAGAGCAATTACTAAAAGTGTCCAGATGAGACTCATGGTAACTCATAATGACAGGCCTTTAGCCACGCTCTCAATGTTGTAAGTATGACCACAGAGGTAGAAGGTGAGAGGATGAAAAGCAAGAGAAAGACAGAGATGAATAGAGACACAAAAAGCAGAAAGAGTGAGAGAGAGAGAATTGAGTTTTCCAGGAGGGTACAATAGTGAATCTGTTGAGGGTATTAGAGTTGAGATTTGACAAGATGAAATACTGGAGAGAAAGAAAGGCCTTTGAAAGAAAAAATAAGGATGTAGCTGTCAAAAACTTTCTCAGAAGATTACTTGGAAGCCAAATTTAGAGAAATCTAATTTTGGGAGCTGCAGGACCTAGATTGTGTTTTCCCCATTGTCCTGGATCACAGTGACCATATAATAACATCTAGTCAGTGACTGTTCAATCCCCAGGTATGGCCACTTAAAGGTTAGATACAATATTCCCTGACCACTAGATGTCTCACTAGCACCAACATCTTAGACAAAAAATCTATTTTACTTATATAGCACTAAATCAGAACATACATTATAACAAGGCACTTTAAATATTAAAAATATAGAAACCCAACAGTTCCTACACTGATCAAGCACTTTGGTGATCGTGGAGAGAAAAGACGAAAGAAGAAACCTCTCGAAGAACCAGACTCAATGTGGGAGGCCATCTGCCTCGACCTCTTGGGGTACAAATAAGGTGTGGTTTGGTGTTTCTTGTTTTACAGCACAGCGGTGGCAGAGTGACTGGTGTGTATTTATACAATTTGTCTACTCTGAAAGATGCACGGTGCAGAAATTAGGCGATGAGCGTATTCACCCAGGTGTCATGTTCACATCACTGCTGATCGTAGAAGGAGCGATTTCTTGTATCAATGTGGGGTGGTCCAAGAGTTGCGCTCACATGCACTCACATGATGTGCACACTCACTTCAACGTGCACCCGGACCAGCTACCAGAACAAAGAATGGAGAAGCTCGGATCATAACTCACACAGAGGGAGCATGACCTCATTCCCTGCACAGAACTTCCGTATGTTTACGTAGAAAATAATTGCTGGTTGCTATATTAATGTTTAAAATCTTGTGGTAAATATCTTATTTCCAATAGCAATTATTTTTTGTCATAAATCTAATGCCACCCACATTTTTTAACTTAAGAAGAATATATGTAAAAAATACAGTAACAGTAGAGAGACTGATCTGCAAAGTGTCCATGGTCAGTGAATCTAATTTGTTTTCCCTATAACATCTGCTCCCGTTAAGTAAAGCATGGTTGATTTTTTTCCATGGCTGACAAGTCTGGTTTCCTAAACAACCATGTGGCTGTGGTTCCTGTAAAAACATTGAAGTCATCTGACTTAAAGCATGAGGTGAGTCATGTTCACTCATCCTTAATGTCAAAATAGACGACAGATATGTAGTTCAACAACTATTGTTTATCAGATTCATATTTGGTAATCTAATAAGTAATTAACTAATTATTTATAAGGCTGAGGCTGAGGATTAATACCAATTTATAGAATTAAACATTTTGTTCGGAAATGGTATACAGTAGATGCAGGGTATTTGGGGATAGTGAATCAAAGTCTCTCAGTAAAAGGAAGATGGTACCACAGTTAGAGATCTGTCTGGCTCTGCTGACAGGATCATCAGAGTGACAAAAGGTTCTGAGATAGGGGATCAGATTTTGGCCAGGCAGAGTCCTGTGGTGACAGACTGAAAGGAATAATGAATCCCAAGCACAGTCATAACAGACTGAGAGATTATAATGATGAACAAACCTCCAGACTTACAGTTCAAGTGCAGCTGCTTGAGTATATCAAGGACAGCAACAGACTATCGACTCTACGTGACTCTATTTATTATAACTTTAGTTGTTTTTCTATTTTTGCCAGTGGAAAGTGCAGAAATATTCTCTCTTTCCTCTTGCCTCTCTGGCTCTGTTGGCTTGCTGCTGCTTTAACCGATGTGGAATGTGAGTGGGTAAATAATTGGACATTTCTAATTATTGTGATCAAAGCATCCGTTCACTGTGGTGATGGCAGCAGCTGGGGCACTGGGGAAAGGGCGGTCGGTGCTGCAGCTAGATATTACTGCTGTCTATGAATTACCTAACCTGCAGCCATTAAAAGTGTCGGCTGAAAGAAGCAACTTGAAGTGTGTGTCCTTTTGAATAATGATGAATCGTGGAATTGATTTCAGTTCAGAGGATGTGAAGGATAAAGAATTTGATACTTTCACCCAAGGCAACTTCCCACACCTGTATCTCTGTACTGATTGTTAAATTTATTCTAATATGGCTGCTATTTCAAAAGTCCTAAATGGCGACTAACACCAAAGACACCATAGAAACATTAGGAAAAGTGCAGCTTTTGGATTACACTTTTCATGGATTCTAGCAATTATATGGTGAAAGACTAATTTTTTTCCCAGTTTATGTAAGCTCCAGTTAATTAAAACCTCTCCTCTCACAATATGAAAAGAAATTCTGTAAACTTTTCTCATGCAAATTATTCAATTAACATGTGAAATCTATCTTAGGTCAACTCAAACAATCTAAACAAAAAGAAGCTTACATGGCAAGAATAGTTGGTAATCCACATTCGGTATTGACCGAGTACACCACAGATGAACTGCACCGGCGTAACCTTGTACTGCAGTAATCATATCGGTCTACAATGCCTTTTCTGTAACTCGATGCTAAATTGGATCACTGCAGTATTAATCCACTGAAGGCTGAAGCAGAGGCACACAAGGCTAGCTCAGCTACAAGGCTAGCAGCCTTGGCGGAGGCGATGCATCGCTCAATATGGATTGCTCTATTGATTCGTACAGTCTTAATCTAGTCCTTGATATTCAGCACAAGGCTTGGCAACGCTCTGACCTCTGAGGAACAGTAATCATACTTGGCTGCAGCATGCTGACTCATCAGCTGGAGTATTTGAAGTTCTTTTCTGAGACAGGATAGAGGCCGACGAGGAAATACCCCATTTTCCCCCATTTTCCCCCATTTTCTTCATGTGGACAGGGTCATTGCAAAGTTCATTCCAGGTATTTCATTGAGGAAGTGATAGATTTGATCTAATCTGCTGCACAAAGTTGGTGACTCCTTCTTCAAACAGCTGTTTGTTTCCAGTTGACAAATTTTATTCCAAATCATGATTATTCCCTAAACATATTCAAGTAGTTTTTATGCATAAACCTGTTATGCTCCGGGTTTATTTCCATCATGACAAAAGTCTGAGCCAACCAGAAGGTGGAGTTGGACCCTTCCAGCCCACATGTTAATATCCCCGATGGCAACTGATAACGGCCATTTAATGGGGTGATAAAATTTGAAGCAGGTGGTACAGTACGGTCTATATGTATTCACAGTCTTCAGGCTTTGCAGTCCTTTGTAAATGAAGGTAAACACATCAACGCTTTCTGGTGCAGACTCCAAGAAACACTTATACCCCACAATCATTTAGTATCCACAGTCTCTCAGCAGCTCGACATAGTGACACCACAAAAGAGCATATTACTTGCACCCCTGTAAAATGGTTTTACACCATGGTTCACTGTTAACTGAACTGGAAAGAGAAAAAGACCACGCAGAGGTATTGCTGAGGAATGATGGGGATTGTTGAGTCAACAGTGTGACACACTGTAGAGAGAAGCGTTCAACTGCTAATCTGTCTCATGTGACTATGAGTGTTTGTGTCTCTGGTTCTGATTTATAATCATGTCTCATGTTTTTTCAACTTGTAGACATGTGTTTCTTGTTCATTTTTTTGTTATTTTGTTATCATTGTCTGCTGTTCAGATAATTTATTAGGGCTTCGCTGACATTAAAAATCATTAACACTCATTGCTACTCGTGTCATGAGGACAGTTGAGTGGTTTAAAATACATATGAAAAATAATTTTAAAAAAGATGACAACACAACTGTTTGGACTCTCAACAGTTCTGCTCAGTTTTTTTTTTTGTTCTTTTCAAATGTCACTGCACTTTTGTTCAGCCTGCAGGTCCCCTCCTCTTTCTGTTTCCACTCAATAGTTATAAAAAACTGTATTTACAGTCTTTCAGTGATTAATGATTATTTCCCAAAAGCATAGATCTTATGGTCTACATTGCTACACCAGTGACATCCAAAATCTATGACCTTTGCAGTAATAAATGTGTGCTTTTGTATTCTTATTTATTATATCTCGTGTATTCTGGATGGATTTATGATACACTTTGGCTGAGAGTTTTTCTTTTTTCAATAAATATGGGACTTTTTGTATATTTTGAGGTCATAAAAGTTTTGCTACCATGTTCAGAAACACAAGAGTTACTGTCCATAACATTTTTGTTGTCAGTTATGTTTATCCTCTTCTCTCAAAATAACATAAATGTTCGATTTATATGCCTGATTTATAACCATTTATTTATTATTATGAGCTAAATGTGCTTTAATGAGCATCCGTGAGATGAGGCATATTGATGGCATCCAGTTTAATGTGTTAATGTTGGTGGGCCTGGCTGTGTCTCAGTAGAGTGGTTCTGACGGAGGTCCACGTCACACCTGCCACTTGCCCAGAATGGGAGCCGTCCATGGGGATCACCACTCTTTAACGCCCAGCTCCTCTCCGCCTCCTCAGGCTCTGGATGGTGGGTGGTGGACGCCTGGGAGCAGTAGCCTACCTCCAGAAGCACTGATGGGCTTTCACTTGTCTGATCTGTAAAGGGATAGTATCTGTAGTAACATTCTGTGACAGCTCAATAGCTTTGTTTCCATACCACTGTAAACAGAAAATGAAGTAAAGGACACAAATTGCTACAGGTCCTATTAGCTCAGGCTGCCAACAGACAAAGGATTATTGGAATATCTTATGGAAAAAATAACTTAATTATATTTCTAGGAATGTTGCTGATAGTGGCATTGTATGATAAGCATATGATGTAGGATTATTATACTACAGGTTTAGAGGAAATAATTCGTTCGGGTGGGTGATGGGCGGATGAGTCAAGCACGGACTCGGATGTCGTCAGAGCTGATCCTCTAGTGTGGATGGAAACCAAGCTATTGTCTTCTTTCATAATGCTGTCCTTTGTTACAGCTACAAAACATTTTTTTTCTTTTATTGAAGAAAATAGGAACAATAAATTGTACAGTTTACATTTTTTATATCCCTATCCCTTTATATCATAACACAAAGTGAAGCCAAGTCTGTGATTCTCTGGTGTTTTCTTTGTTGCTGAATTTCTGCAGTTCTGGCAAACTAAATCTCCTGCTTGCAAATAATAAGTGATATTTATTTAACAACGTAAAATACCTTGATCTGTCTCACTGAGCGTTTGTTGTAGAAATGCCACAACTCCAACTGCAACCCCACTGCTGCTACTAATACTATGTTATTTATATTAGATGGGCAAAAGACATATGTCTTAATATATGCTGTGACTGTTGTGTTATCAACAATGCTGTGTATATACATTAGAGAGTTTAAGATTATTGTGACTGTGTGTGTTGACTGGCTTGACATTTTGACTCCAGACTAACTGCTGTGCATTTGTATTATGTATGATGCATAACACGTGTGACACATCTTTTCTTACACAGAATGCATGAACAGTAACTAATCTTTAAGAGCTTTTAACATGTTGCCAGATGGATCTGAATAACACTGTTGTATCCTTGGAACCAGTGCTGCTCCTCTCCCCAAACTTAAATCTGCCCTGTCAAGAAAATGCAGTTCCATGCAGGAAACTAGGTCTTTTCTACCAGCGAGGCCTCTGCATGCCATAGTTTCCTCCACTGGCAGAGTCATAATAGCAGCTGTCAGTGCAGCCCCACAGGCCCACCTCCCTGTTTGTTAGTGATGGAGAGTGAGACCAAACACACCTCCCTCAGAGATGTGGCAGCCCTGTGGCCTTCAGGGAAATGCAGTCCTATGTGAATGACAGCTGCATTGGGAAAGTGAAAGGAGCAGCACTGGGAGCATGTTATTAAATACCACGTGGTTGTCACAGCCTCCATCACTGATGCACACTTTGTATTTTTTTTTCTTCCCCATCTTCCACATCTCTCTCTCTCTCTCTCTCCGTCTGTCTCTCTCTCTCTCTCTGTACTTCACTAACCAGAGATCTGAAAAAGGTTGGAGTGACCATTGTAGGACCACAGAAGAAGATCGTGAGCAGCCTCAAAGCCCTAGATTCCCACACCAAGGACGGCCCAGTACCTGTTTAATAATAAAGAAAAAACAACCTGTCTTTCAGTCTGTGTTAACAGACCATGGTTGCTAATCGCACTCTAACACAGTGGCTGCTTATCCAAACTAGAAACGGATGGAAGTGGAGGAAAAATATATGATTCAGGCGAGGGGCTTTGATTGTTTTGTTGAGAGACGATATCAAGTCCTGACAAGTGGAACAGGAGAGAGATCAGCCACTGAACCAGCTGACTCTTCATCCCTCTGTCCCTCCATGCCCAAGTTGAGATGCCTTACAGACTAACCAGAGGGTGGGAAGAGCCAAGGAGGTGAGTGAGACCTGGTCAGGGATTCAAACTGGGTCTGGACTTGGATACAGGGCAAGGACTAGACTAGCGTGGAAGCCAGAGCACTCCAATACTGGCAAAGCTGGGTGGCATAGCCTTCCCTTTATGGCTCAAAGGGGGTCAGGCAATGCTCACAGTCTCTTCCCACCAGCCTGTGGAACGAGGCGGTGAAATGTCTGAGAGGCCTCATGTAGAGGAGCAATGGCAGACAACAGCAGCTCACCCGGATGTGGACCCTCTCTGGACTAATGAAGCCTGAGGTGTGAGGTGTTGACGTGAACTACCTACATTTACTGTCTCTATCCATGAGAGAGCTGGGCTGGCATTTACACCAAGACAATAACCAAACCATTTTACTCTGTAGCTCTAACCTATAACATTTGCATTCAATAGAAATGTCACATAAAAGCAATAATGATGATAATCCGTTTAATAGTGTCATCATGGAAGCCATGAGTCCGTCACATGTACAATGTAGTGAACGCTGTGCTTTGAAGGCACAGAGGCCATAATACACTTCACACACATAATTTTATACGTTCTATGTGCTTACGAGCAGATTCTGTACAGTTTTTAGTGCTGTTCCCTCAACCGAACGCCCTTTGTGTGAAATCTCAGGATGTATTCATTCATTTTTTTTGTTCTAACAGGGAGAAACAGAGCGGGCGAGGGGGAGCATTGCCAGGAATTGAGATTGCAGGTTAGGAAAGATGGGAGCCAGAAAAGGTTGAAGTGGAGGAAAAAGACTGAGAACTTTAATCATGCCTGCTGCACAGATAATTATAAGCCTGATTTTGGGTCTGAGTCCATCCTCCCGACGTCTATCCATTGAAGATTTGAGCCTCATCTAAAACAGATTATCTGGCGAAAAACCTTAAAGACATAGTGTTAATGTCACTGACTGCTTCCCTGATTTCAAAATCGGGGAGGCCAGTCATGTAAGGGAAAATTGGGGAGACCCATTTAGTGTGATAAGAACGACAGTTTGGCGAGTAAGGGGGGGCTGGCGAGGAATGGTCACCAACCAGATGATGCGTACCTGTGTTTAGAAACAAAACGTGGTGGCCCATACCAGGTGGATAGTAGAATAGGAGGACAAACTTGTGTCCTATTGTTTGTGCGAAACGTCACTCATGATGGCCTCCATGTTCGTCTAAATTCAGAAGTCATTTGGTCTTGAGTTTCTGTGAGGTCCCAGAATGTCCGGAATCACCACTCAGAGATGGTTTGTTTAAGCGCTAAGTTTGTGCTCCTGCATCTCGACTGGATTTATCTAGCCTTCTTGATTAAATGATCAAAAATCTGTTACATCTGTCGATAAGTCTTAATTCTGTCATGTCAGTTAAGATTTGAAAATCCTCTAGTGTGCAGCAGGCATTAGATGAAGCAGTGTCATCTATCCAGGCCTCCGCTTCAGATGCTGTTGTGTTGTGGAAGTGTTTAAAACTAGACGTGAGTTTGAACTTGAGTTTCTTCCTCAGGTGTTAGAGGATTGGCATCATCAGCCCCACACAACACCAGGTGTATTCTATGTCACTTTAGATCACGCTGCTTCTCTGAAAGTGTTGTTTGCTTTGGTCTGAATCCATAACGTATTAACAAAAGCCGCGGGGGATCTGTCATTCACTTCTTTAATCAGAACTGTGCTGTAAAAAAAACCTTTGTTCTACTTAAAAATTTGCTCTTAATCCATAAATCCTGGTGTGTAAAATGCAAAACATAGAATTCTGCTTTATTTTAAACCCACGTGGGATCTGTCATTTGCTTTGATCAGAAAATTGTTGTAAAAGAAAAAAAAAGTACTGTGTTCTTGCTTAAATTTAGCTCTTAATCCTTAAATCCCAGCGTGTTAAATGCAAAAAGTATAGTGCCTCCTGTTGCTGGGTTCAGGGTTGGTTCATGGTGGGATCACCAAGCAAAAAGCTCCAGTTTGTCTTTGTTTTCAACGAAGTCTTGGTGTATTTTCTGTGTTCTCACGAGGCCGTTGTGGTTTACGGTCACTGCTGTAAACCAACAGCAAGGTGTGGAAATACCCTGAAAGAGACGTAACACTTCCAGTAGATTCTTTTTCCTGGGTCATCATACCTCCAGGATGGGATTTCCTAAGGGCACCTTAGAACTTAAATGATATGTTTAAAGATGCCTCCTGCGTCAATGTCACCCAGTCAACACACACCCAGTATTTATAAACTGGCACTTGGTACTTTGTGCTGTTGGTTGGGTCGTATTTAACCACGAGGGTGCTTCTTTGAGCCTGTTCCAAGCACTTAGTACACGGTATTTGAGCACTTTGAGTGGAAATGTAACTGCCTTGGCTATCGACTTAAGCTTATCTCATGGACAGGGGGTGATTCTGGTGCCCTTTGGGAAACCCAGCCCTGTTCAGTGTCATCGGTCGCTCCTCTGTTACTCGGTCTACCTGTGGATGCTGCTGTTGCTGCTATGTGTTCCAATTAGCATGTACATACTGTAAACCATCATAACGATAGCAACTAGCACTACAGATCCCACTATTTGTACATGGCCATCCCTCTTTGTAAAAATGTTTGTATGTATAAAAGAATAAATAAAAAAAAATTGTGCAACATTTTAATTAAAAAAAAGAGACAAAAATCATCTGTATTATATTTTATCTTGTTTTGAGTTATAATTGTCAGCTTTGTTTTTTTTCTACAATAAAAAGGCGATTATGATTACGTTATTATTTATTTGTTAACATTATAAAGCGCAATGTTTTTTTCTTTTGTAGCATACAGTAAATTATGTGCCAGTGCTATCTGTGTTTTTGGTTTTTTGACTTACTTTATAAACCTGGGACATCTGAGAGAGCAATACTGTTATAATGCACCCCTATATCCAGATTCCTCATCTTCTGTCTCAAGACTGACTCGTGTGTCTGTGTGAGAGTTTCCGTGTGCAAATGTAGATGGCCTTGTCTACTAATGTAAAATGATTTGTAGTGGAAACATTTATATTTTTATAATAAATATTGGCAAAATATTTTCCAAAAAATGGACGATGATTGACCCGCTCCTGTGTTTTTATTTGATGGCTTCAGAACGCCGCATGAATTTTGACTTCTCCTTTCAAGCATGAGCATATTCCCACATGTTTAAAAGATCACAAGTGGAAGTGGGACGCTCGTAACTCAGATGTCATCTTTTCATTTCACATTCCATAGATCAATCTTTTAGCACATCTTGCTTTCTTCAGAATAAAAGCCACCAATCATCCGGCTGACATATATAGTGTACGGGACAGGTGCTTCAAATCACGGAGTTCACAGGGCAATGAGCTCGAACAGAAGAGTCCATAGAAAGTTCAGTCACAGCCAAGAAGTGTCTTCTCCACCAAAGTGTAAAATAAAAAGAAATAGTGAATTCAAACTGCATTAAAACTTCTAAAGTAGTAAAATATATTCAAATTGAGCAACATAGCAAATGTCATCCCCAATATCTCTTATGTCAGTGTGTGAAAAAGAGCAGAATAATATAATATACTGGACGTACTACACTTTGTCCACATCTGTTAACAGGCTTCCTGAACCACCTCAGCCTCTGGTTCTAATCCCGTCCACCGTGCACGCTGCTGGCTCCTCACTTCCTCGGCCACATCTAATAAAGTGTCTTGTATTTGAGCGTGCACGGTCAGAGATGATTTGTCGTATCATTTGAATGCGGAGGATCTGCTTTTCCTCTCTCCTTGCTGACTGGGAGGAGATGAGATGTGTCAGACAGGGGAGGGAGTGATGGTCGCTCTGCTCAGCGTTGAAAGGTTGACACTATCCAGATGTTCCAAAGGCAGATGTGCAAGCAGAGAAAACAGGACGCTGCCCTCCCCGTGTCAGGAAACAATGAGCACAGTATGCTCGACAGCACCACCAATTTGGTCTTTGTTTTATCTGTAAAAAAACCTCTTTGGTCCTGAAATCCCCGGCATGATGGGAAAGAGAGCGGAGGAGGAGGGAGTGAAAGCTGAGGGGAGATGAAACCATAGAGAGGAGGTGTAGAAGGCAGGTGTGCTGGATCTACAAAGCTTCTGTCAGTTCTGTCCAAGTAGATCGAAACTTTGCGAACAGTGGCATACGATAATGCAATAACGCAGGAGAAGATTAAGCAGCACCATTCATCATCCCACTTGGCAGCAGTGTTGAAATGTACTCCCCTGGCTGCTGCAGATACAGAAAGGCCAGTTCCACTTGGAGAGTAATGATAATGAGAAAACAACGTCTTGTGCAAAATTCATTCCCCACTTTGAACAGAAATCTTTTAAACTTAGAGCTCTGCAATAAGACACAGCACCTTTTACCAGATTTATGACCGCAAGCATTTTTTTCTATTTAGGCATCAATAGGACAGAATCATCACTGACAGTTTTAGCACTGTGATTTTCAACCTGAACTTTACCGTCATCATCTCCCCCCTGCCTGTGAACTATAGACTTTATAAGAAGATGGAGATCGTGGCTGTTCCCCATATGTGAAGCCAAAACATCTTGATTGCCACCTGGAGGCTGGCTGCAATGTAGGTCATAACTCCCACCTCCTTCATGTTAGTGGATGGGACATGGACCAAACTAGAACTTCATATTAATTAGAGAGATGTTTTTTGTAATTTAAGGGAGGCTAGTTATTATTACACTGATATACGTTTTTGTTAAGTTTGGTTTTAATTAGTTATTCAATGCCACAAAAGCAAGGTAAAACATAATGATTGACAGCTGAGACTGACTCGGGATTGGAAAAATGTGTGTAAGATATACACATATTTATTTTTCTTTAATTTTTCTCTCGATGTGTCAGCCATTCCCTTCATCATGTTTGTGGGTCCATAGTTTGTGCATGTGCATCTGTTTTTTTCATTTTTAAACATCAGGATTATTTTCCACCAAAGAAGTTTTAAAATGTATCCAGCAGCTCTGAGAAGATGTTTTTTACTTTCTGCTGTCTGTATTTTTGAAATCATGTTGTCACTTCAACACAGCTGATAGAATTACACCTGATGGTTCACCGCCAAAATCCCATCCCCTCTGTCTGGATTTGTCTCCTCCCTTTGAAGCCTGCTCTGTTGCCACATCACTCCGTCTCCCCTCTCCCTTCCCTCTCGCTTCCTGCTTAAAACTGGCCTCCAGCTGTGTGCAGCTGCTTTGAAGGGCCTGACGCCATATTGCAAACTCATAGCGGCCCGTTCAGCCCTGCCTCTGCGGACTGTTGTGGTGGGTGTTATCCTCATAAGCTCAATTACTAGGTTCATAGTTCACCAATAAATTACCAGGAAGTCATGTGTTGATTATATTTTGGCGAAGACCGTATTTATCTGTGTGGAGTGATAGACTTTGGAGGAATTAAGTGTTGTATAGAACAGACATGAAGCAAGGCAGTGCTGAAAATAAGAGGTTATTAATGCACAGTGCAGGGAGCACTACACTTTCACAATATGCTGGACACAAAATGAACAAACTACTTTTCTACTGTTTTTATGAAGCATTCTACCTTCAGGTCTCATACTCTCAAAAGAAAAGTTTGGTATGTCCTCTTCCACCTGCTCAACTTTGACACGTTACAAAACTAACTGACATTAATAGAAGCAATATCACAAATATAATTACAGCTTGTGGGCTTCTGAACTCTCGAGGGTCTTTTACAGACCAGAGTCAGACAGTGGATTCACTCCTGTGGATTTTACTCCTGATTCCTGCTGCCTGTGGACTTCAGCCAGACTCACTGCTGCAGTTTTGCAGTAAAAGTTAACATTAAAGTACACTCACCATTAGTTGCTTATTGGGAACAAATTTTGCAATATTGACTATGATAATACACGTGGGGTCTCAAGATATTCATCACAGTAAGTGAACACACACACACACGTACAAAGATAGATGGTGTAAGTTGTTGGCTTTGTACTCTCTGAGCTCTCTATGGAGCCCAAGCACACACTGACTCCTCAATCATGTTTTTACCAAAGTATACGTGAAATGTTACCATCACAGCACACGCACAAGCTCAGGTCCCAGGACTGCGAGTGCTCAGACCACTTCTGTCACTTTGACAAACGATGCCATCACAAAGGGAAGTGAGGCTAACCCTGCCACCGCCTCCTCACCAGAGGCAGTATAAAGAGAACAAATCCAGGATTTATCTTCCTGCACTGAAAATAGAAAAAATGTTGGACCAACTTAAAATAATTGCTTCAATTGGTAACAAGCAGTTTTTCAACTTAAAGTTAGCAAGTTATGTTCACTCAATTGCTTTAAGTCAGACCTACTTAATAATCAGATTGATTTTCCAATCAACAATTTGCATGAATGCAACTTAAATTTAAAGCAAGTCAGCTTAAATTTTTAAAAATGTTCCAACCCAGTTATTTGCTTTAGCCTGAAATAAACCTCTGAGGCTTCACAAAAGTTTGTGTAGTCACCTTAGTGGTTCATTTCAGTTTGTTAGTTCTAATTCTAATTCTGAGGTTGAATTTAGAAGATACAATATTTTATTTTATTCTTTTATTTTAGTTACTGGTTCACAGATAAATGTTTGACGAGCTTCTAACAGTTATACCCATGTTGGCAAGAGGCAACACTAAACTCTTACATTGGTGCATGAGGCGAAACAAGACAAAACATTATGATTTTTTTTTTCCCCCTCAAATTGGTAATACAACCACTAGGGTGGAAAATCATAAGAAAGGGACAGCTTATGCTGTAGGATCATTAAAATGCTATAACACTGCAAAATCCTTTTTAATATGTATTAAAAAAGCTATAGTCGTTAGTACATTTCACACACATTATTTCTGGTAACATATGGAGACAAATAAAGTTTTAATGCTTATAAGAACTGGTGGTATTTCATTATATTCAATATGAGTAAAATTTTAATTCCACAAAAAGTTGTCATTTCATTACATTGCCATTAGTCTGGATCCCAGCCCAGAACACGATTAGAAGAACAGAATGGCTGGATTGATACCTGAAGAGACAGAGCTATTACTGCTCTGTCTCATAATGTTAATGGCTAAAGTCAGACTATAGAGCTGCTGGTCCTGCCCGCTGTCGACACCGTCCTCCGTACCAGGGAGAATTGATTTTCCATGAAAGCTGAGTGATGTGGAGGGACTGCTGCTCCTCTGATGTCAGCACTATGTCATCCCTCTCTCTCCCTCCATCATTTCTCTCTCTTTCTGGTCTTTTTTTTCCTTTTCCTCCTCTTAAAATTTTTCCTAATTTTCCTCTCAGCTCTCTATCTTTTTTCACCCTTCACCTTTCTGCCCTCTGTCATTCCCTGGTCTGCTTCTTTACCTTCTCTGACCTTCTCATCTCTCTCTCCTCCTTTGACTCAGTTCTGCTTTTATTGGCATTACATATTCATTCAGGTCATTTTATAGTCATTAACAGCTCATTAGTATTAACTGAATAGAAGTTGATAGGCATCTCTTGCTTTGTGTCTCCCTCTCTCCTCTCATAGCAGCAGGCAGAACGATAACACGATGAGATGATGCTAAACAAGAGCCTGATTTCCACTGCTGTGCCTCTCTTTGCATCATTCACGAGAATGGATTTTACACAGTCGAGTGTGATAATTTTTATTTATTTGTCACATTCATCTGAGGATTAGAGTTTGAGGAAAATTTGGGAATTAAAGAAAGCAAATCAAAAGACCTCCTGTTTTAATCTCCTGGATTTCATAACAAATAATTCAGTGAAGAGGATAGAGGCAACACACATACACTGATAGGAACAATCATGCAAATGCTGTAATAAAAGATCAGCATCTTTGTTTACCATTTTAATTTTCTTGAAATGCAGATGGTCAGGGTAATTTTTCTCATATACTGCCGTCAAACAAACTGATTGGCCACAGTTTAGCCAATAGTATTTCAAAATCAGGTAAATGCCTTCAGGATAACTTATAAAAATAGAACAGCACTCACAGTATAGTGCATATATGCCAAGGCCCAACAGGCCCCTTGAATTCACCAAGAAGTCACCAAAATTTGCTCGATTGA